CCGTCGTCCCGCTGCAGTAGGGATGTTCTATTTGCTACTCCTGTTCTGGAAGGAGAAAATACTGTTAACCCCATGTGACCAGAAGAATATTTTACAATGATGTTTACATTATTTTCTAGATATAATATTATGAACTTCTATTGAATTTGCTGCTTCTTTGTATGCTCCAGCATAACCCAAGAATTGTATATCCATTTCTATATCAAGTATTTCTCTCCATATCATTTAAATTATCCCTATAAATTAATGTATTCCCTAAGACTAAGAGAGAAAAATAAATTTATGTTAATCTTAAATTGTAAACATTATATGAAAAAAATCAAAACTGAACAATTTACTTGAAAATCTAGTTGTTTTTAACCAACTGAGCCACCCAGGTGCCCCAAAAATCTAGTTGTTTTTAAACGCACAGCAATAGCCTCTATTTCGAATTTTTGAAGCTACATAAATATGCTATATTCACTGACTGGAATTTTAGAAGTTAGAGGCATCGGTCATTTAGTGCAATTCTCAGCTTAATAAATAAGTATGATTAGATCCACAGAAAAATCATTTATCCAATATTTCAATACTAGGTAGATTAACTATTCTTGATAACAAAATTAAATAACACATTTTAATATAGAAGCTGCATATTACTCATACCCTAAATAGAACATTTAGGTACACACATCTTACATTACGTGTAACAGCAGATGAATTAAGAGAATATTGATTTTAGAATTTCATAAGACTCTTAGAAAAGCTCCTGTCTCATGGTAAACACTTAACAAACATTTGTTAAATAACTAACGGTTAATAGCTAAAGTTTAATGACTTCTAAGTAATCTGTGTGATAGACACTGTGCAGCGTTCGCAAGGTAGGCTATTGCCTTTCATCCTCACCTACTTCTAGACATGAGTATTGTAAGCAGTATTATTATGCCAATTTTAAAGAAAAGGAAACAAAGGTACAAAAACGATTAAGTGGTTTATCTATAAACAATGGGGCCTAGATCTGAAACTTCTTAGTCTGCTGCCAAAACATTCACTCCTAATCATAGAGAAATGAGGAAGTTAATACCTGATCTTAAATTTATACTATGATGTAAATGACTGATAATATAGCCTTCCTGAAGATTAGATTTTTGAAAGAACACTTGTAGCCAAAAGGAAAAAGGACCAAAAACATATCCTAAGAAAGCTATATCTGGTTAATTGTTCTTCCCAGAGGTAAATTTTGATAGAGTTCATTTACAATATAAAGTTAAGTAATTTATGATATTAAGCAACATGTTAGAACATATACTCATATTTTTGAATTGTTTTCATTATATCATATGAGATAAAAACATTTAAAGCAAATACAAAGAGGGGTGAGTTATATAGGAGATTCCCTTCTTGAACTGTAATACTGAGATCATTTATATTGAGACTTTCAATACATTGTTCATGACTATGGAATATGCTATGAATGTATTTATAAATCTTGTCATCAATGGGTGAAATCTAATTTCTTATATATATATATATATATAACATGTACAATAATACACATTACTGTATGTTTTGTCTTTGAATATTATTTGATATCTCCATTCATATTTCAGGACTTCTTTTAGAGTTTGATATTTTAAAATGAATAATTCAAAATAAAAGCAGATCTTAGCTCTTACAATTATTCACTTATTAAATATAATTAATCATTTTAGAGATTTCTAAAATTTACTCTTTAAATTTGCCAGAATATAAAAAACCTGCATGAAATATATAGAAATTTTAGAGATTTCTAAAATTTACTCTTTAAATTTGCCAGAATATAAAAAACCTGCATGAAATATATAGAAATATGAGTTGATAGCACCATTTGCATATAGCATTTCAGCCCATTTAAAACAATTTCATTCAGACATTAAGCATCAAGCTTCTAGGAACATTCTGGAATCAAGTGCTATGGAAAGAAAGTGATCCCCTAGGATGGCTTTGGGTATGCAAGCAAATAAATAAGGCCAACCCTATTTACTATTCATACCTAAAAAGCCAACAACTTAGAGACAAATCCAAAAAAGTTGCATGGCATTGGGTAAGGAATAGCTGAGTGATAATTATTTTACCTCCCATCCTTATTGATTAATTTTAGATACTTCTTACTCTACAACTCCCAAAGAACTGTCCACGTATGCGCCTTCCCCCTCCGTGGCAAAGCACCAGCATTTGAATCAGAAGCTTCCAGTTCACATTTCAACCCTGACCTTCAGTGGCTATGATACCTGAGTCTCACTTCCTCTGTACTCAGAGGGTAAAATTTCCACCTACAAGCTTGTAGGGGGATTGAATTAAATAATATTTAAGTAAAACAAGTGGAAGATGCTCATTATACAAGTACCTCTCTGCTTAGGAAAGATGCAAGCATCTTTGAGAAAGCTATTGCACTGATTTTGCAAACTTGTCCTAGCTTATTAATTGGGTAAACTTCATTTTTTAAAAAAATTTTTATTGTTATGTTAATCACCATACATTACATCATTAGTTCTTTTTTTTAACGTTTCTTTTTTTTTAATTTTTTATTGTTATGTTAATCACCATATATTACATCATTAGTTTTTGGTGCAGTGTTCCATGATTCATTGTTTGTTCATAACACCCAGTGCTCCATGCAGAACGTGCCCTCCTCAATACCCATCACCAGGCTAACCCATCCCCCCACCCCCTCCCCTCTAGAACCCTCAGTTTGTTTTTCAGAGTCCATCGTCTCTCATGGTTCGTCTCCCCCTCCGACTTACTCCCCTTCATCCTTCCCCTCCTGCTATCTTCTTCTTTTTCTTTTTTCTTAACATATGTTGCATTATTTGTTTCAGAAGTACAGATCTGTGATTCAACAGTCTTGCACAATTCACAGTGCTCACCATAGCACATACCCTACCCAATGTCTATCAGGTAAACTTCATTTAACCATGGCTCAGCTCAATACAATTATTCAACCAACCCTGCCAATTGAACCAAAGGGTCAAACCAATGAATTGATGCACACCTGGTTTAAAAGTTAAAGAGAACCTTAAAAGTAAGGCAAAGCTGCTAATAAAAAGGGGCTAGTAATGCCCCAGAACGTGCCTGAATGCAGAAGAACATCTTATTCTCTGGGAATCACCAAACCTCCAGGGAGCAGTTCAAGCCAAAATTGTGATCTCCCCGCCTTGCCCTTCAAATAATGTGTACTCTCCAAACACATTTTCTATGCAGCTGGAGGCTTTGTTATAGACAGAAGGATCCTGCTTAGTTAGGCCGGTGTTTATGGCCTAACTTTTTTAAAGAGGAATTTGGAAAACTTCCCAGATGCTACATCTGCCCCTAGCCCTTGCACCTCAGAGTATAAGGCCGGCTAGGGAGAGCGTGAAGATGACTAAATTTGTTAACGGTGGACGGGCCACTCTATCTTTCACTGCAACAACAGTAGGTGATCCCATCAAAAATCTGTCTGCTGGCTAGCCAGCAAATCTGAGCGGACAAATGCTTGCAGCAGATATACTCCGCTTAATGGAAATGAATGTTGTTTCCTCGAAGAAACCCATTGCAAGCCAAATGTTGGACCAGGAAGGCAATTTCTACTTCCATTTGAGCAAAGGCTTTTCAACTTTGTATCTATAGGCTTTTTAACTTTCTTTTCCACATTACCTATTTTTTCTTTCTTTTCCTTCCTTTCTTTGACATTTACGAATATTAAGCAGAAGTTGAACACTTCATGATTGCTTAGTGGCTGAATATCTAATACTCAGTGCGGATTTTGAGGCACCAGGCCACTAAGTAAGCAGGCATTCGCCTCAATATATATCTGCTAGGACATCATTCATTACAAATGTGCATCAGCAGCCAGCCTCACTTCAGAGCAAACTATTTACTATTTTAAATAAAATAATATTTAAATAAAAATAAGCAATAATATTTGAGCCACATTTTATAGCTCAAATTCCACTTCATCGTCCTCAACACATGCAACATTTTCGAGACTATTTGCTCCAAAATGACTTTCTCCGGGATCGAATGAATATTGTTATGAGTTTACAGAATCATTTGTATCTTATATTTTGTATGTTTTTTTAAAAATTAGGAAAGTGACGTATGTAACATAAATAGTTACAGTTTTCTGCAATTATAGTGAAATAGTGCTTTTAGAAACTCGAATTCGGAAAGGTAACAGGACTTCCAGAGTACTGTAGGACGAACAAGACCAGGAGTTGTGTGAAACCAATGAGGCAGGATTATAGAGCCCCACACGTGAGGGATAGAGCCTGTCTTCTTTGAAAATTTTGGCATTTTGTTGGGGAATGTTTTGGCATTGATTCTCATTTTTAAAAATATATTGTATGAAAATACTATTTTTGTTGATTTCTGAGGTAGTGTGTGTGTGTGTGTGTGTGTGTGTGTGTGTGTGTGTGTGCCCGAAGCAAGCACCTCACTTACCCATACTGCCAACATATCCATAGAAGGTATGTTTTCCCAAAATTAGCTTTTCCCATAATGTTCTCCAAAAAAACCTACTGATAGTTTAATGCTTAAAAAAAGTGACAAATAAGGATTAGGCATACTGAGCTAAGCAAAGTTAGCTTTGTTATAATTGCTTTTAGAGGTTTTAATAACCTGATGTATACTGAGAATCTCCCCAGCACGGGGCATTTCTCACACTCATCTGCCTACAGAAGTCTTCTTTTTCTATAGAGTAGGTAAAGTAGTCTGAGGAATACATTCTGGTAAATGGTGTCCGAGAGTCATTTCCAGCATATACTTTGATATAATAAGGCTACCTTCCCACATCTGTATTTTTCTTTTCTTTCCTCTACTTACCCACATCTCCCCACACAGAATACTAAAAAGATGGACAAGTTGACACATCAAGATGAAGTTATAAAAGGTCTGAATTAGTATTTCTGTGGACAGGCATAGTAAAAATTCACTCTGAAGGGATATCAAAATAACAAGAAACACCTTGGCGCTTAGCGCCTCTTCAACAGAGTGATGTCAAAAACACTTACCGGTAAAGTCCGTATTGACTGGGTGTGTGGAACTGGGAAATTTATAATATCCATTCCCTATGAAACGAATTCCTTTCATCATCATGGCCGTGGGAGCTGGGAGAGATGACTCTCTTCTTTCCAGCTGATACACAGGAGAAGGTCCATTGAGTTCTTCAGGTGGGAGCCATCTAACACGGATGGTTGTGCTGTTGATTCCTTCCACCACAGGAGGCCTCAGTTGGGTTGGTGCTAAATGTCAAAAACACTTGTTACATTCAAGAACTTAGCGTCTATCTCTGATGCAGTTATTCACACTCAGGTACACATGCACTTGTGTACATCACACTTGAGATCAAATCAGTTGTGGTCTCAATTCCTTACATGGCTCTAGGAACTGAAGACACAATAGAGTTTATCTTAAATGTGACTAAACACCATGAAAAAATAGGTACCATAAAACTTTGAGGATTAAACAAAATTGCCTCTTGCAGATAATTTCTCTATTCTTTCTCACTCAGGAAAAGACATTTCACATTATAGTCTGTTGGTGCCCACCCAGATTCCCTTTACCAAGCTGGTACCACAATGGTGCAATGTGTCTGTCTCTAATGGCTCGTGGTTGCCCCCTTTTCTGGAAAATTCCCTTGCCTGAGTGGACACTATCTCACCCAGAAGCTACAAGATCCCTCATGAAACCTGCAGTCTGTGACTAGCTGTGACTACCGCCAGTGATTACTGATCACAAAGGGCAGAGCCCCTAGTCTTAACATGGCTTCAACTTATGGCCGTAATTCACAGAGGCCAACAAAGTAAAGGAAATGATTGAAATGGTCTAATTCGGGAGACAAGAGAGAGTGTGGGGTCTGCAAAGAACCCGGCCATGGTGAATAGTCACTAATTCATGCCAGCCAATGGATAATGCAAGAAGGATGACCCAAAGTTGCCCGATCTTTTACTTTGTTAAATATAGTCATTTATGTGTAATTTTTCTGATTTTTGAAGCTTAGCAACTGGTTTAAATGAAAACAAACAAATAAGCAAAACCACTCCGAAAGCCCAACAGAGCATCCACATGAAGAAAAGGAGCCTGTGAGCTCAGGGGTTTATGAACTCCGGTCCAGGTTCAACAGACCCAGGGCAGCCCCCTGGGCCCTGAAATGACCACAGTACCTCCAGGGCCTGTGCCTAGCAGCAGTGAATGCCCAGTGCCCAAGCACACACTGAGGCCTTGGCATACTTCGAGGTCCTGGGACCCTGGTAATTCTCTGGAGGCTTCTGGGAAACTCCAGGAATGAGTAACAGAAATAGAGATTTTCCCTACAACCTGCTGGAAAGGGGGTTAGGGTAACAACTGAGTTAATAAAAATAAAGTTTTGTTTTGATTTTTCTTCTTTTATTTTTATTTAATTTCAAGTTAACTTATGGTATATTATTAGTTTCAGGGGTAGAATTTAACAGTTCATCAATTGCATATAACACCCAGTGCTCATTACATCAAATGCCATCCTGATTTTTCTTCTTAGACAGTTGAGTGTGTAGGCTGCGATTCATTCCCACTCAAAGTGGTTTGGCTGGATTTGAGAGGTACCATCAAAGAAAGGAACAAATGTTATTATCACCAAGCCTACTTTTTCAGGGTCTAAACCAAAGCTGTGGACTCTTAATTTATACCTTTGTTAATATAGCCTTCTGCATACACAAAGTCTTTCCCGGTTTCAATAAACATAAATTAAAATGATATGAATACAAGAATCGATATCCTTAAACCATGAAAGATAATTCACCTTAAAACAGCTTAGAACAAGTACTATCTGTTACTTTCTAGAAAGCTTGGCCAGCTTTCCAAGAGAAAACACTTAATTGTGATTCTATTTTAACTTTTCGTAAAGTAGAGGGCACTGAGCAAAATGTTCATCAACTTAGAAAGATAATTAACAATTCTGTTCATTTTCTGCCACTACAAGCCATGTGATGTTTTTATTTTTATATATGTATGGATCTGTAAATTTTATGCATGATTTCCTTTAGCATTCCTTGCCAAAAATAGTAAATGGTGGGTTCTCAAAGATTTCACTCTACAAGCTATGCCCCATCTTCAATATAATCCAAAACAAAATAAAACGCTGACCATCTAGAAATTTCTCTCCCCTCAAGTTTCTCTTCAGTGTTTGGAATTCCATTCCTGTATTAAAATTTAAGCATTGGCTACGAGTTTAACAGGGGAAGAAGGATTGTCAAAAATTTTTGCGTCCTGGGTTCAGGGAAGCAATGGAGGACCAATTACATAATTTTTTATTATCTAAAATTTGCTATTTAAAAGCACAAAAGAAGGGTGCCTGGATGGCTCAGTCAGTTGAACATCCAACACTTGATTTCAGCTCAGGTCATGATCTCAGGTTTGTGAGATCAAGCCCCACGTTGGGCTCTGCACTCAGTGTGGGGTCGGCTTGAGATACCCTCTCTCTCTCTCCCTCTACCCCTCCCCCCCAGCTCTCTCTCTCTCAAGTAAATAAATAAATCTTTAAAATAAATAAATAAAAGCAAAAAGAGGGATTTTGAACTCTTCTATTTTCTATATTCCACATAGGATTCCCTAGGGTTCTGGGACAAAAGGATTTGACATCTTAATTTGAAGCATACCATCTATTCCAATGATATCTAATGGAACTTTCTCTAAAGATGGAAATGTTCTAGATCCATGTTGTCTAATATGGTAGGCATTAGCCACATATGGATAGTTAGCACTTGATATGTGTTTAATGAGACTGAGGAATGGAAGTTTACATTTTATTTAATTTTTATTTTTATTTTAAGTTTAAACAGTCATAAATGGCTATCATGGCTACCATACTGGATAGCAAAGATCCAGAGAATCACAAACTATACATTTTTGGTGCGTTGAGAATAGGATTTCCATTTTAACTAAATATTTAGAGAAATTAGGAATATACCTCCTGTACTTCTAAAGAACTAAAGAGTTTTATCCTTGTTTAAAAGTAGCCTCTTCTTCAAAGTCCCATTTGCTTGACATTTGGTATTCCTTTACTCCAACCACCCAGCTCGTTAGGGATAATGGTGAGGTTTTGTACCACTATGGTATTCAGAATCCCTTACCCCATTGATAGCATAATCCAAAATTCACTTCTTAAACAGGACTATAAATTCAGAGTCAAACAAAACAAAAGGAATTCCAGCCACTCAACAGCTTTTTAAAAAATATCTCCTAAAAGTGAGAGTGCACTTTTTTTTTTTAATTTGGCAAAATGATTATAATCAATAAGGGCACTTTCACTGAGACTCCACTACAATTAATGTTGACTGTTTAAGTTCTAACAAGTAGTGGAACACTTCTAAATTAACAGGGGAATTATTCCACCAAGCAATTAGACTATTCTTAGGAAGTCAACTACAGAGAATGAGTCAAATTAGAGTATATTTTTTTATTCTCTTGCCTAAAAAAAACCAAACAACCTTCCAGCTGGTATGTTGTCATTTCACTTGGAGGAGTCAACCCAGCCTGTTTGAAAGGGTGAGCACCCTACTGAGTCATTATCTTCAGAGTTCCCTTAAGACCAGAGGGGGAATTTTCAATCAATTAAACTAGACTGGTCACACACACACACACACACACACACACACACACACACACGTAGAGTGTTGAAAAGAAAAATAGATATTCCTGAACTATTAAACACGCTCACACAAATACAGACTCACTAAGAGAAAGGAGGTATAAAGGATTATTTTTCAGACTATCAAAGTAAAGGGATTATAGTTATAACTTTGTTAATCACAAAACAGTGAATTAAGAGACAACATAGAATAATTGAAAGGACTCTGCAGACTTTCAGAGATTATATTTTACCTTTTAATTTCCAATTCTGCGTGACTTAAAAAATCACCTTGAACTTATATATGCCTCAGTTTTCCCATCTACAACATGAGGATACATTTTCATAGAATACCTTGACAATAACTGCTTTTAAAAATAATATATATGTGTATATGTATATATGTTGGCTAAACACATAATAATAAAAAAAGAAAAAAACTATATATATATATATATATAATTGTATTAGGTTTGACAAAGCAAATTTCTAAACAAATCCAAGGCGCTATTATGGTTAGCCAATAACATCTTTCATATTACATATTATAAAAGGATATAATTCATTCACATTCAAAATCCGTATTTACTCAGAGAATCCTCTTATAGCTGTAAAGCAGAAAATGGATCTTCAATACCCATCATTTCAAAGAATAACAAGATACAGTCTGTTTCTACTTAGAATAAAATTACGATGTTTTTGTATTTTTCTGCAACTTCTTTGTATCCAGTTCCCAGCCTAGCTCCTCTATTTATAAATATTCTTTTATAAAAAGCTCTGATAATAGACATTCTTCTTTATGCAGCATTTATTACTTTATAATCTGATTAATAGCATATCATAATGCATAAATTTACATGTGCAAAATTTATGTAGTGTGGAGTTTGAGTGTCATAGGATAAGAACGGAAGGCTAAATGAGCAGAAGCTCTCGTTGATGGCAGCTCTTTAAAATCAAATCTCTTTGTTTTCAAGCAAGAGTTTGTTGCCTATGAACATTGCATGGCAGTGTCAATATCTTAAAACATCATCAACTTTCTATTACAAAGACAGGAATCCAGGAATTAACGGCCTTTTTATGTTTCAGGCCGATGTGGGGAGCAGACTAACATAACACATCTTCAGGCACTTTATCAATAGAACACGATTTTGACTTTTCCTCAGAAATGCAAAACTGTCACAAGAAATGTAAATTGCCCAAACATGGCTAGGCCAGAATACCTATGGAAGGGCACTGGGTTCAGGGCCTAAACAAGAGATCCAGGCCAGGAAGCCAGGATTTTTCAGTTGGCGACCACCCTACTGAACTGCTCTCCAGTCAGTGTCCAGAAGAAAAGAGAGGATTCTTCCCTCAGAATCTCAGAAATCAGACAGCCTTGCCTGTGCACTGTTTATTCTCTGACTGGAGAAACAAGAACAAAATCTACTTTACCATTTCCTCCTTCTTGGTTTACTAGTCTCCTTCGAGAGAGAAGATGTACAGTGGAACCAATGTGGAAAGGAGAGAACTGAGCTTCTAGGCCGGCTCTGTAGGTCCCTAGTTATGGAACACGGGCTACTCCAGTGTTTGGTCTCTCTAATCCTCAGGGCCTCATCTGTTGAAGGGCACGATAGACCCGATTGTGTCTTCCGGTTTCAA